TGTCTGAGGTTCCTAGGGCTGCTTGTTCACATTAAAAATATGCCAGTCCTGCTTGTTTGTTGCAGAGAGAAGCAGTTTTTTTTTTAGTACACAAACAAGGAAATCCAACTCTGCTCACCATGTTTCACCGTGGAAGGCCAAACCACAGTAGCCATGGGAGAGGTTGAGACATGATGTGTGAACAAGGTCCCTTTGTTTTCTTCATCTTTCAGGGTAGATTGAGGCTGCACTTTTCAAATTAGCTGAAACAAAATATAAAAATATATAGAGAAAGAATCTGGAAGAGTGTGTGGAAGTCGGTGAGCACTGACCTGCTGAAAAAGGGTCTTTACTCTGAAAGGGGCAAATGTCTGGAGCAACCATTAGAGCAAGTACAGGAATAATGGCATTTATTAACGTTTTCTAGACTTTACAAATTTAGAAGTATGTTAATGCTTAATTTTTAGTTTGCCACTACTTTATTAAGTTTTATTTTTTAAGAAAGCCCCTGAGGTCCTTTTTCTTTAATGATAAAATCCTAATAAATCAAGGTCTTTCTATTTGTGTTAAAATGCTAGTATTCATTTAAACTACTGACTGCAAGTTTAAAACACCAGAATATTTGATACAAAAATACACTAAGGCTTCAGTTTTCTATCTTGGGAAAGATACATAGTAAAAAATATAGCTAAGGCATATAGTATTGCATGACTCTAGAGCAAAGTGTCTGACAACTTATTTGATAGGAAATGATGGGGTGATATTTTACTACCTTCATAGCTTTGATAGCAGCTTCAGCTTACTGCTTTTTCTGCCTGACTTCAATGCAACTAGCATCACATCTGAAATCAAGAGTTTTGTGCTAATATTTGAGTTGGTGCTTTTCCACCTCGTGAATCTTGATGCCTAGGATATCTTTCTTTTGTCCCCTCCTTTCCATATTGTAATGGTTAAGATGCAGTGTCCCCATCTACCCAAGGCTTCAAACTCATATGAGTAGTCCCATGAGGACAGTAGTTGAAGGAAGCCTTTGAGTCTTGTCTGCTGTGTGGGTTTCATGAGGCTTACATGAAACATCTTCAATATGTGCTGTGGTTTTCTTTTCAGATAGCACATTGCTGAGCTCAGCTAGCTCTGTTGAGGCTAGAAGTATTAAATCACCACCAACATTGCAAGTTTTTAGGTGAGAGAAGCATGATCTGTCTCCACATGAATTATATCCTTGGCTTACAAAACACTTGTTACTTGGAACAAGAGTGGGATCTGTTTCCATTTCTTTGTTCTTTCTTGTGCCACATCTTTTCTCAGACTCTTCCAATAAAATCTTTGGGGTTTATAATGTATAATAAAATGTAGATATATTAATGTATTATAATATGTCCATTAATCTAAAGGTAGGAAAAAAGGGTAGGTATGGTAAAGAAAACTGTAGCTGTTCATGATTCTATCAAAGAAAACCCTTTTTGGAGTGGAAAATGTGTGTCATGGTGCTTGTGTGTTATTACAGTAACTAGAATTTCCTGTGTCATTTAACTCTTTCAGTTCATTTTATATACATCCAAGAAGTTGTCCTGCCATGTACTTTTTACCTCCAGACTTTCAGTCCTTCTGTCTTGGTCATTTTATATTTCTAGAGACTTCATTTTAATTTGAGTTGCTATTTCTTACTTGCAGTGACAGTGAGAAGCATTAGTCAGCCTTACCTGGAAGAGGAATTTATTATATAAATGTCCAAGTATACGCTGTTAAAAAAAAAAAAAGAAAACAACACAGAAAAATAAGACATTCCCACATTTCACATTTATAGAATTAGCACTGCAGAGTTAAGACCGCTTCTATTTCAAACACATTCCACCTGCTCAGGAAGTTGCAGATAGATTAGAAATGTCTATGAAATCTGTCCACCAAGAAATTCTGTTACAGTAACATTAGCTGATTTCCATTCGACCTGAAGAGGCACAATCATTTTCTGTCTGCATTTTCCTCATTAGGTATTCAAATGAAATCTAAACACATGAAATCTGCATTGCTATGAATATATTTTTTCATTAAGCTACAGAAACTAATTGGCACTGAAATTAGATTTCACATACAATTCATGTAGTTAAGTCTTTTGAAGAATCAAAAACATAAACCCCAACAAATAACCCCAATCAAACAAAACCTGCTAGCAGTTTTACACAGAGATATCTGCTGTTTTAGTAAAGAATGCTGCCTCTACGACTCCCTTCTAGGCCACGCTTCATTTCTGTTGTCTTTCTATACAGTTAATAATTTGATTTCCAAAGTACAAATGCATTATGACAATAATCAGGTTTTAATTTAAATGCATTCCTTAGCGTATCAAGTCAAGCAGTTTTCCATCCATCCTTCAGTCCTTCCTTCCTGTGGCTTTTTTGGGGAAAGTGAGGGCAACATGACTGATTTTTTTTTTCTGTCTTTGTCATCGTTTATTCAACTAGGGACAGATTGCATATCTTTTACAGTCATTAGCATGATAAGTCTATTGGCATTGATTGGTCTTATGGTGTAAATGGGAGGAGAAAAGGGTCTCAGTATGCCTTTTACAATGAATTTGTAAGTGATACAGCACAGATGAGTTCAGTGGGCTGGGAAAGGGAGACATCTTGAAAAATAATAAGCTAGAGGTAATTTCTATGTTACATACTGCTATTTCAAGAGTTAGCAGTGGTCAGGTGTTTAAAGTGAAAAAAAGGAATGAAAATACTTACCTTGGTATCACAAGTTTCTTGTTCGTTTTGATGACTAAAATTCTGAGGCATACTAAAGATTGGCCATTTTATAGCTGAACAGATGAGAAACTAGAGAAACAATCCAAGTAGCTTCTTGCTGGGTTATCTCTTTCCATACAGGCATGTTCTTCTATCTAAATTTCAAAGGTAATATTTTTCTTCTTCAAAAAGTTTGGGGAAGGGGCAGGGGAGAAGTCTAGAATATATACAGCACCTCTTCTGTCCCATCTCCTTCATTTCCAGCAAGGGAGGTGACTTCTGTGTTGTCAGTTGACATTAAGCAACAAGTAGTTCTCTGGACAGCAATGAGATTTTCTTTCTAAGAAACATCTGCTGCATGAGCAAGGCACACAGTGGAGAGCATGTCATATGTGCTGCTTATATCCGGTGGGCTTAGTTAAAATAAATAGTGAGATAAGATTTCTTGCTTTGATTTCCAAGTCTGCTGTTACTTTGTTCCGTCACCTTGTTCAATTCAGTTCAGTTTACCCAGTTGTAAAATGTGTTCCATAATATTTACTTGATTTACTGTGATTAAATCTTCTGTTATTAGTTTGGGTCCCCTTTGTTCTAGTTATTGTGTACATTTATAAGAAATCAAAGTCTCTGCTTCAAGGAAGGTATTACCTTCATAAATAATGTAGGTGGTGGTAGTAAGAAATTCTAGAATGAATTAGGGGAAGTTGGGCAGCTGAGAACACAGCTAAATATTGTCATTTTTGCAGAGAACATTGGGAGGTGTTAGGTATTGAACCGACATCTAATAACTCATGAATAAATATTATCTGCCATTTCTTCAGGAGGGGCTAACTTAAATTTTTTGACAATTTGTTAAAGGATTTTCTGAAATCCTTGAGGGTTTATAAAAATAATTATATAAACCATATATGTGTTTTATGTGAACTGTAAAAAGTAAGCCATATAAAAACAATATCTGGTAGGAGCTTTTTTAAATGTGTATTTTATCAAACTGACAAATGGAGAACTTTCTATTATTTTAAATGAAAACAACAGCCAATTTTTCACGAATTTTAACATTAACTTTAGTGCTTTCCTCCATGCATGTCCTCACATAATTTCTGGACTTGGTTTTAGAAGCTATGTAGATTTATTTACATACTGTATCTGGAGTCAAATACTTCTGATTTAGCTTTTAAGTTAAAAATACATATGTTCATGACTCGTACTTGAGTCAGCCTAACAAAGCTGAGCTTTATTGGTCAGTTCTTGTGAGACAGCAGTATACCAGTGTTGTACATTGGTAGCTTGAAGTTAACTACTAGAAGGTATGCTGCATAGAGCACTCTCCTGGATTTTTAAAAACTATTCCAGTGTCCTGACACAACGTCTCTTTGGTATAAACTGCTGCCAACAGTAAATACCAATCATGTGTGCCCCCTCTTTTGTGAAATTACAGCCATTTTGAAATTATGCCAATTTATGATACAAGCAAAAGTACTGCTGGCTCTGGCTTGCTACTGTAACTGTAAAACATTAAAATGATTAATGAGAAATATGGAATTTAATCCTGCCTGGGATTCAAAGACCTAAGAGGGAAAGGAGGCAGGAATATGTATCATAGGCTGTAGGCCTGTTTGTTTTCTTGAAACTTGATTCTCTTCTGCCTGAAAACAGCTAGAAGTTGGGGAAGATCAACAGCATTTGACTGTGTGCCCTAGGAAGGAAAGGATTGCTCTGGGTGGTGCTAACGAGTGATAATTTGGATTTGGCACTGGTTTTCCTCCCCTCTATCATCTGCTAAATTCACTTTACTTTGGCACTGTTTGGTGTGTGACCTTTTTATCTAACTTTTTTCTGGGGTTTGTTATTTATTTTCTTTCATTACCATCATCATCTAACCTGAGTACTTGCCACTACTTACACAAACTTCTCCAAAGGTAGGGATCATTATCCAAATCTAGGAGAAAAAGCTTGGCCAGCATTAAGAGCTAAATATCAGCGAGAGCATTAAATGTAGACTGCAGAGTTGGTCCAACACCAGCTTTTTTCCAGTTTTTGAATATAGTTAAGTGGTGGCTTGGAGAGTCCTCATGTCACAGGGAGACATGAGAGAACAGAAGGAAGGGAAGCCTGTTGAGAGTTTCACTTTACTGTTCATGTTTTCAAATTCCATTCAACACATAAAGTAAGAGGTATTATTACTTACCTTTATTAGTTCTCTATTATTATCCTAGCAAGATTCCACTCTAGGCATTAATTATAATTGCTCAATATATTTATTCTTTAACAATCCTCTCTCCCCTGTAGTTTGGAAATGCAGATGAATCTGAATGACACACAAGCAAAATCTGTCTGCATTTATATGACAGGTGAAGTCAAAAGGAGAAAACAGTTTTGTTACTTGTGCAGAAGACCATTCAAAAAAAGCCTTCAACACTGCTAGAAATACTCATGGCTTCATTCTGATCACATCTACATAACTTAATACTTCTGTAGCTGCTACTTTTTGTTTTCTGATTGTGTTACAGTTGCGCAACAAAACTGAAAAGAGGAAAGTAACATTTGGGACGAATTTCACATCATTAAGTTGAAGTGTATCATTTCCTTAAAAAAGTTAACATGGCAAGAGATTTAAAATGTGTGTTAATTAATAGATACAAATTACTGTAATCACATCGAGATATAAATTACTGTAATCATGTCCACTTAAATCTTTCAGTGATTATAATGCCATCATTTCAGTGTCATGTTTCTAAAGATATTAATTCTTTGTTGAGAGTAGTTTTTGAATTGGTGTAACTGTATATCTGAAAGCCCATTGCTCCTGAGAGACACAGATTTCACTTTCAGTGGTGGAAAACATTCATAAAGGCAAATTGCTGTAGGTAGACATGAAAATCAGATAACTCTGAGTCCGTATTGACTTAACTACTGTAGTGCCATGCCATTGCTACCCCTTTCTTGAAAACAGTTGTGGTGAGTGCACATGGAAATGAGAATCCAAGGAGGCATCCGGTGCTAACATTGACATCTCCCAGCTTAAAAGAAAAAGGGGTGGGGGTGAAGTGAAAAATTTCCAGCAAAGATCTGATGTGTATAATACATAGAGAGCCCTGAGGCAGTGGGATTACAAGGGGTTTAAAATCACTGTTTTTTCCACTGCTGTAGGAGAGTCCTGGAATTTACCAGGGTACTCACGCAACATGAGGACCTCTGTAGAGAAACATACGCTACCGTGGTAATTTAGAGTGACTTGAGAAAATTGGTCTGACAGTGAAAAGGGCTGCTATTTTCTGCAAATTTGAGGGTGAACTGCTATAGTATTTAGCTCCTGCTTTTATCAAAATTAACGTGGACTTTTAAAATCCAAAACAAAGGAGTGGAGTCTGTTTTGTAACATTTTTGTGTGTCACTTTTCCTGGTGTGGGTAAGGGAAAAGAAGAAGCTGTGTTTTGTACTGGAAGTTTCTGTTCTGTAGTCAAAGAAGGGTGTTCACAAGATACAGATGTTTGCTGTGTCTGGGATTTTTTTGCCCATCTCTTTTGGGCAAATTTAAAAAAAAAAGTGTTAAAAAAATTATTACTTTCTAAGTCTAAATGATTTACACACTTCTGATTTGCTGTTCGTCAACTCCTCGATTGGCAGAATCTGACCGTCTGTAATTTTAATACTTGTACTTTTTTCTGGACAATACATTCCTCAAATCTTTTCCTTGCTTCCTCTTAATGACTGACCCTGTTCATTGAGAAAAGAGTTAATAGCCTTTAATGGCGTAAATTTTGTGAACAACCATGTCCATGAGGAACCCTGTACACAAATAGTCCTGGTAAATTCAGCAGGTTTCTTCATGTGGTAAAACTGTTCATACAAGTAAGTGTTTGAGAGCAAACAATCAGTATTCTTCTGCCACATTCCGTATATTCCTCCATGAAAGAAAGCCAGCGTATGAACATCAGAAGGCGTTTTTAATCTACTGTGTCCCAAATAAGGATTTAATCTAAACTAAACAACTGGTTTGAATATTTGCTGTTACTATTAATTACTGAGAACGTTTTGAATTTTATTATGTGTTTCCTAGCTTTTAGTTCTTCATTTGAATCATCCGTAGTGTTCCTACTTAGTGTGTTCTTTTGGTATTTAATGTTTATAGTATCTATTTATTACAATTTTAAAACCTCTAGTTAGCTGCATTTTACTTAAAGTGAATTTATGACTCTAAAAAGGTTCTGGAATGAGTGTTTTATCAAGGAAGCAATAGTTCAAACTTTTGTCCTTCTAACAAAGCACTGCATATTTGCTTAATTATAAATGCATATTCAGAACACATACAATAGGCTTTAGCATGTTTATCAAAGACAAACTGCCTGTATAAAGCTGTCATTTTTGTCTGAAATGAGGTTACTTCAAAAGTCACAATTAGCACTGCAGGCACTGATGTTATCCAATTACACTTCTTATTTATTTTATTATAATTGGTGCGTTCTTGATACAGCTGTTTCATGGATACATGTTTTAATAAATTGATTCAACCACCTATTTTTCCAAACCAGTTAGTAAAACTGACCACAACAGACCTGTGAGTTTCTGGAAACAAGTCTGCAAATTTTCCCATAGTGTTTCTTGGGGGGTTGGGATTTGCTTTTTTCTCTACCTAGTGCATTGTCCTTGATCCTAATGGTAAAATGAAAACTAACTGCATTTAATTTAGGCTGCTTGTGAGTCAACTGTGCATCTGATCTACAGGTGCTGAGAAAGTTAACTGGTTCACCCTGTAATTAGGTCTTTGCAGCACCTTCTCCATACATTAATGGGCAGATGGATCCCTAGTTCTTTTCCTGTGGTCACCAATGCAACTGAGGGACCCATCCGAGTGACAGGTACTTACATTCATTTGGAATTTTTAATCATGGCTTAACACTTGTCAGCTTCAAAGCATACAGTGTTGGGAAATTAGTGTCACATCATGTGATACAGCGGTCGTGAGTCTGCAAAGAAAATGGATTGTTTGATTATTGTTTTTTTTTTCCATAGCTAAGGTTAACTGTCTGGACAGCTGTGAGTCAAGCCTTCAAGACACGCTGCTTTATCTGATTGGTCTCAGTCTTGATCTGGCACATGAAAGGAAATGTGAGGAAGTTTCAAGCAGAGATCATTTTGCAAGTCCAAAGATGAGGGTAAGGTCAAGTTTGCTTGCATTTTCACAGTATCTTGTTACACCCATAAAACAAAGTGCCATGCAGACAATATGAGGTTTAGTGTAGCAGTGGTTTTCAGCTTCAGAAGATTTACATTGCTGAAGTATTTTTCATGTTCTGTTTCCCAGCATCAAAGACAAACAGCACAGCAAAGAAAGAGCAGTTATAATTTTTTAAAGGTGACTTTTCCTTCCAGGGGACAAGCATATGGTGACTTCATCTGAGTTTTGATGTTTAACTTGCACATGTGCTGCCACTATCTCGTGGACCTGCAGGGTAACGTTAGCATTTAGTTAAGGAGTAAGTTGTCATGGTTCACGTTACATTAATTTAGCCCGTAATGTTACTGTAACTGCTTTCCTGCAGTAGGAAACTACCACTTCCTCCATGCATTCAGAACTCTGGAGATTACTGCAGGAATTTATCGGGTGGGAAAGTACAGCTTGCTTTCTTTCTGTCCTTTATGGCTATTGTGAGCTGTGTGTGAAACTTAAGAATTTTAGCCTGCAGGGTGGAAGGAGCATTCTTTTCCCCCATAAGGCTCACCAAAATAATTTCCTGAGCTATGGATGAGCATTCCCTTACAAAGCTGGCCCTACCAACTGCCTTCCCTCTGGAGAAACTGTTCTAGTCTTGAGGCTGGCTCCTCAGATTGTAAAAATTGTCCTAATTCCACCAAGGTCTTTGTGAGATTTCCTAACTACTCATTTTCCTGGAAGGTTTTAGATCTGAAATGTGTGCATTGTCATGCTGCAATGCTTTATGGCTTTACGTAATCACTTTTTCTTTCAGGAAGATTGTTGGTTAGCTGTACATTTCAGTAAAACCGCAGTTTAAGATTTTGTTAGCTGTTGTAACATGCAGTAAATTCTGTGGTTAAAGGAAGAGGCATGTTGAGCAAGACTTCTCACTCTCCAGTTCAATTGTATAAAATGCTATTTTGTGTGTGCTGTGCACGAGGAACAGGCCTGTGCGCTAGTCACTGTTGCAGTGGACACATATTTCTCAACATCTACCACAGAGAAGCAGAAGCTGAGAGGTTTTTTTTCCTCCAAAAATACAAATGCAGAAGAGATAAGGAGCAGAGGTTGTCATTGGTACCTCTGAGCAACTCCCATAGGGTCACTGAGTATCAGCATTTTTGTTCTTTGCATGTTCAGCTATGTGGAGACCTTGCGCATGCAGTCATGGCCAATGCTTAATATGACACAAACCATGGGAAAGCACTTTGTTTCCTTAAGTTTTTTTTCACACTTCAGCCTTATATTTACAGGTCCATCAAGTGCCACAAAATATATGATGCAGCTCTATGGTGAAGAATCTTTTCTTCAGGTCTTCAGGTCTCTTAACCTGATATTTTAAAAAGTAAAGCCATCATCCCCCAAACTAAAAATCTGTGCATTTAAATAAATCAGCCTTCTTGCATGAAGATGTTCATTATAAATGCCATGAAAATATAAGATTATAAATTGACTGTAGAAAATAGTTGGCATGCAAATTGTTCTATCACAATAATCACATAAATAAGCACAACGCACACACTATGTAAAAGGCCACAATAATGAACACCTTTCTGAATCCTTTTGGGATCTCTGTTCAGAGTGGTGCAAACTATAATGTAATAGTGAAATTAAAGTGAATGATGCTTTGGTACACAAAACTTGAAAAGAGAGAGCACTGCTCTGTTAGAAATTAGCTATGGTTTTATTTTATTGTAAATTTGCAAATTCTCCAGGGTTTTAGTCTGTTTTGGATTTGGGATGGGTGGTGGTGGTTCTTTTGTCTTCAGAAAAACTCCTTTTAGAATCAAAAGGGCACAGTCGTAGGATGCTCTGGTCACTTGGATGGTTGTTAGGGAGAGCTGTGCGCAAGCTGGCACTAAGCACTCCGCAAATCCCCACGGTGCTCTGAGGAGAGAATAATATAAAAGACCATGACATGTCCTTATGTCTCCTTTGCTTGCTTTAATAAGAACTGGGAGGATTTCATAGGGAATTTTAATATGTGCATGTTCAGCTGCCCTACAGCAATCCATATAGAAATGCTCTCCCATTAGGTGACAGAGTACATTAAAAAGGCTCAGTGTTAGGTGTTAGGGTAATCCTGGCCTAATTTTTATCACTTCCTTTGAAAGTCCCTTCATTTACAAATGCTGAGTATCTCAAAGTATTTCTCTGCTTTTTTGCGTTGTTTTCATAATTTTTTCATAATACCATGAAACTATGTTTAACTTCATGTAGCGCTTTTTTCCAGGGAGAGCTGATCTCCAAATGAATTTATCCTGATCAATCTGTGTCCAATCTGTTACTGGCTTGATCAGATAGAAAAGAATGATATCAGCAAAGCTGGCATATTGCTCCTAACCCTTCCTGATGGTATATGCATATTGCTCCTAACCCTTCCTGATGGTATATTCAATACTTGAAAATACCAAAGGTCTAAATTTAAAGGAAGATCTGGAAAATCATTGTCCCCTTTCCAAGAGAAAGGGGCAATTTCTGTAACATGTAACTTCTCTCTCTAAAAATCTCAACAGCAAAAAGTGATTTCAAACTATGTGGTTTTTATTCCCATTTAACTTCTAGGGCATGCTATATTCCCCAAAAATACACCATTACTGTTCCCCCCAGAATACACCATCATTATTGTTCAGGTTTTTATACATACAAGTAAG